AAAAAAAATATAGAAAATAGGATATAACCTGCAAAAAAGTATTCCTATGCTAGTTTCAAAGAGAAAATGTTCTACTTTGTATTCCCTTTGAACTGAGAATACTAACACCCTCACATAAAATGAGAAAGCAGAAGAAATAATGCATGCTGCAGTTTTGCAATACCATGCCCAGCTGTCCCAATAAGAAAAAGAGGATTTGTAATTAAGCAACAGATTATGACAAATGTTATCTAAAATAAGTTGTTGTACCAGTAATAGCATTATGTGTTTCTATAGTGTTTTCCACCTGAAAGTGTTTTGCAAACATATTTATAACACCACTAAAGTGTATCCACCACCTGAGTTTAAGGTAATACTATATAGCCAACAAATAGTCCATTAAGGTATACTGCAGGAAGAGGAAATTCAACCTAACTATAATGCTGCAAACTCACGCAGTAAGATATGATGGCAGAGAAGAAGACAGGACCTGCTTTTTAGATTTTAATTCAAATACAATCCCCTACCATACCCAATCCAATGAATTACCCAGAATTCACACATGTGAAAAAAGGGTATTTATATACGACTTTCAGACCACTAAATGAGCCACTTGGGATTAGCATACATATGAACTGCAAACACAAGGAGGGTACCAATGACCAACACAGAATATGGTTGGGATCTTCTACTGCTATAACACAAAGAGAAAGTAATATTTTTCTACATACAACTGGATGAGAAGATCAAGAGAATTAACTGTTTTATGAGAGAAATAACAAAGTTAGTTATGTCTTTAATGTATATAGTACAAGATAAATGGACTGCTAGTCAGCAGAACAAATGCTACAATTTTTGCTACCATCTTCTGTACTACTTGCTTTATGGTAGTAGTTTTGTTTGACTTCACATATGGCACATCACAAGGGCCCTCAAACACATCCTGCAAGGCCCATGCAAGCTACCACCTCACCAGTAAGCAGTGTAGCTATTTTTCATGGCTCTGTAGGCATGCTAATTAGCCCTGCTCAAGGACAGCACTAATTAGCCCACCTGACACACCCAATGAATGCAGCTACTCCTTATGTTTATTCCTACTTCAAGAAGTAGCCCATGCAGAACACCACAGTGTATTTGAGGGTGAAACTAACTGGTGTGCAGTCCTTGAGGAGCAGAAATAGGCACAGAAGCACCCTGATTCATTTGCTTAGAACACTGCAAAAATATAGTCAAAGAGTTAATGACAGTTTCAAGGTGTTTCAATCTGCTAGAGGCCAACTGGCTTGGGAAGCTAAAGCGAAGTAAGTGCAAGAGCAAGGTATCCAACAGAAAGCAAAACCCAGATTTAAATATCATTTCAACAAGGCACGGAGTGCAAAGACCACTAGAGAAAACAGTCTTAAATTAGCTCAAGTTCTTTGAATATAAATCACTTGACCGAGAGGATCTTCCACAAACTTTATGTATCTCATAGCTAAAGTCACGAGCTTTGCCTTTATTTCAATGATAGTTGTACTACAGTTGAAGTATGTCTGTGCCTGACAGATGGATGAGGATAGAAATATGAATGTACTGATGTGAAAATTATCAGATTAAAGTTCTGCCGGTGAGAGATTAAGTCAATTCACAATTTCTCCACAAATCTGAATAATTATAAGGATAAGGATATAAATATTTGAAATCATCAAAAGAAGTATTAGTAGCCTATCCTGTTCAGAAAATTAACAGAGCAACTAGACCCATAATTGGAACAACTGAGACAGATTTAAAGTTACTACTAGCACTAGCATAGGCATCAGTCAGAAGCATCAAATCATTAACCACTTGAATGCCAACAGGTGTCCACCAGAGCTGTCTAACTTCTAAGTGGCTGGGGGCCCCACTAATCTACATACCATGTGGGCTGCACACTATGCTGTGTGGGCACCCCCACTGTGCTACTCAGTAGGCAGCCCCCCTTCACAGCACCACGCTAATATCCCATGCTGTGCCACACTGGCCCACCCCTGACACACACTGCATCTCAGATGCCCCCTAATATGCTATGATGGGAGACCGGGGAGGACCTGGTATACCAACTATGATCCCAAAACACAACACCTCCCCTCCACACCCCTGGAGTGGGGGCAGACAGTGGAAGTTAGAGGAAGGAGAGGGAGCCAGAAAATTCCAGTGGCAGCAAAAGAACAGGAGCCCAGGGACCACGGTTTAACCCCTTAGGAGTCGCATGCAATCTGTGGGCTGCCAACTGGACAGCCCTGGTGTACACAATGCATTCTTGAAAGCCCTTGTGGAAGCATTGTTAAACTAGCATCAAGGAAAATTTTAGTCATCATACAATGATTAAGGAAACTGACCCAGTTATAATACAGAAGAGTTGGAGCATTGGTGTAGCTGTGATAGCTCAGGAAATGTACATGAGGCAAGAGGGTTTTTGTGATATCTTTTATAGGACCAACTGTATAGTTAGAAATATTGGACATGCTTTTGGGCATAAAGTACCCCTCTTCAGTGACCAACGGTAAATGACTTGAAAAAAGGATGTTTTAGGTCTGAAAGCATCTCACAACTATACAGTTGGTCCAATAAAGGAGAGCAAACAAAAAAATACCTTATATACCAATCTTGATGATCCTTCTAGCTCTTCTCTTTTCTTCACCAATCTTTAGAGATTAGAAATGATCTACTCAGTGTCTTGCTTGCTCAGTCGTTACAGAATACATTCTGGTCACCCTTCCTACTTTTGCTCCTAGTTTAATGCCCTCTTGACAGTACCTGCTAGTCTAAACCACAAGGTTTGTTGGCTCTTGATGTTGAGAAAGACTTCTGATTATTATCTTGTTTATTTATAATTTACTTTATAAATTCATATTTAAATTGGTTTTACTCACCTGATTGTGCACACAGATCATTTTCAAGTTTTTAATAAAACTTAAAAAAAAGAAAATCTTTCCTCAATGTAAGTGGGGAGAGATGCTACAACTGGCCTTGGGAAAATAAAGCAAGAATTTCTCCTTATTTTTGTGGTACTGCCACAATCAATACAAATTGCATGTTTCCAGTGGTAACTTCCCAATGATTACAACCCTACTCCCCACCCCAAAAAAAAGATACAAAAGAATTCTCAGTTTTAAAGTGTAAATTATTATGAAAATGATTATATACACCTTCGGACAAATCCCTAGCAATTAAATGTAGCCAAAGTAGTCAAATACACTCATAATTTTGAAATGTTGTTAATATAGGTTCAAATATCATTGTACTGTTATATAAAAGCAATGCCATTAAACTATGTCAAGTGAAAATCATTTTCTTAACAAATGTAGAAACTGTCAATGGATCTAAATTAGAAATTAAGGATATAAATTAATTTTTCAATTTTTTTTTAGAAGTGAACATTGAATTTTCTAAAAGGTAATCTTTACATTTTTCAATGGCTCCTCTTTCTAATAAGAAAAATAGCTATCAATAACTAAATAACTATCAATAACTATGTTCGCCCAGCAACAATAATCTCAGCATTTGTGTTATATCAGGGCAGATTAAATAAACATATTAAAGTGTTCTCCATAAGACATTTCTTAACTACATATAAAAAAGTAAATGTTTCCTCCTAGCAAAATTGGAAGTCAAATATAAAAACACTCCAGTATATTCTGCCATTACAACATGACTGGAAACTAAAAATATTACTCATACCAGGTCCAAAGTATCATTTATTCAATAAGTGAGATCCATATAATCATAAACCATCATCCCACCTTTGTCTATTTTTTTAAACAAATGCTTCAGTCAATGTGCTGTTTCATGCCAGAATCATTTTTGAAAGAGCTGGGTACTTGGACCTGTCACCAATATTTGCTGGTTTCTAGGCACAGTCATTTATTCAATTGCACATTGCATCCAACTGGGCTTTTGCAAACTCTGTTGTTTTTCTATTCTCTGTTCCCATACACAGAAGGTGATTTTCAGCAGATAAGATGCATGTGGAAACTGGTCTTATAAACCAAATTCTAACTCAGCAGTAAGTCACTTGTGCAATAAAAAGTGTTCTAGTTACCTTGAATGTTCAGTTACTAAAACAGCTTATTTAATTTTAATAACAAGAAGAATTATATCCAACCTGCTACACAAAGTAGGCCTGATTATTAAACTGTTACCAATTTTTTCTTTCCACACTTTGTCAGAACTGTAATGTCAATGACCTAATATTAGGTAAGTGTCCTTAACTAAAGAAACCTACCCTTGTTCCAGTGCCATGCATGATATCTTCTGGTGTGTTATAAATTTCAGTTTCCATTTGCACCGTCTGCTTTTTTTCATGAGAGACCTTCACCCGCAGAATTCGAAAATAAGATCCACCAAGATCCAATGCAATGAAATCTCCTTTCTCTGTTTGGAAGGCAAGATACAAAATAATCAAAATTATCAAGCGACTCCGATTCAATCTTTGTTAAAAGTAATGTATAAAGAAAGAAAGAAAAACTGGCTTTTTTTTGCTTATAGCAACTAAAGTCTATCTACTGTATGCCTATTCATAACATGTTGTGCTAACTGCCTATACCTCAACATAAAATTAATGAAACAATGACCAGTGATGTAAAGTATAATGCAACTTATTCAGAAAAAGAGTACAGTATTACCAGTCACCAAGTAGGATCCAGATCCTATAATTTAGGGTTCAGCCACAAAACATGTTTATACCAACAGAATCAACCTTTACACCAACATTAAAAAAGCAAACATAGGCATACTACTTTACAGTGGGGTAACTTAACTGAACCTGGTGAAGAATTACCCGGGGGGGGGGGGAAAAAATCAGGTGTGGGGTTAGTCCAATATAACAGAGTAGATAACTACATGTCTGTCTGCTCTGAACCCAGGTATAATTTACATCAAGATACAAACCTGGTATACATTATACCAGCATAAGTGTGTTACTTGTCCAGGCCCTGACTTGGGTCACAAGCCTTAATAAGAAAGTTGCAAAAATTCCAAGTTTGTGTAACATAAGGTAATGGGATGTGGAAGATCAAGAAGACTTTTTGTGGGAAAGACAGAGACAAAGAAAAAGCCTTTTAATAGTAACCTAAAGCATTTTGTGGGGAATACCTCAGGTAGGTGGATCGGAGCACCATTTAGTCTTGAATCACTCTGATCTACATGGGCACACAGTTAACCAGACAACTAAGAATTTAATTCCTGGGAGCTGAATTTAACGGAAATGATGTAATAGATGCAAGAGAAATGGAATAAAAGCATGCTAAAATTGTCTTTACAAATCTATTACTGTCTCCTATAACAGAGTCCAAAATTTGTGATTTACTTCTGAAATCTGACAAAGATGTACCATTTAAAATTATGCCCTCTTAGAATGGGAAATGAAGTCAGGTTTCAAAACAATTAAGCAAGTTAATTTGTCCACCTACTTCTACATCTACAACAGCTTGAAAAGCCTTCAAGATATAATTCAGTAATGCTATAGAGATTGGCATATAACTTAAAAGTCACACTTTCACTGCTTGTCTTTCTGCTGAGTAAATATCATTGACTGATCCAGGTGATGATACTTGCACTGTCTTATCAGAGTGGAACAAGCAAAGAAAACAATCATTAATGGTGTGAGATTGAGAGAATAATTAGGGAAACAAATTTATACCATCTTTATCCTGAGGGCAGCTCAAACAGAGAATTAAGACAACACTGCACTTTCTGGCCTTCTTCCCAGGCCTAGTTTTTCACAAAATTCATATTTTCTGAAATATCTAGTACACTGGGTAAAGTCCTGGCCCTGCTGAAGTCAATGGAAATTTTGTCATCAACTTCAGTAGGGCTAGCAGGAGTAACAGACAAAATCCCTTGTCACATACCATACCATTCCTGGCAACTAGTCACAGACCCAAGTCTACCACTTACACACTCATTACAGCTACATCCCATACAATTCAATTAAAAAACACCTCTCTGTATTTATTTCACCTTCCTTTTGAAATCTCAAGCACAGGTTCTAGGGTCAAGAATGGCTGGAGAGAAGCATTCCACAGCCAAGGATGTCAGATGAAAAATATGCACCTAGGAGTGCTCCCTTAGGCCTTAGAGCTAGAAATAGGTCAGAAAGCTGGGAAACTAGATCTAGATGCAGTTAGCTAAGAAGCACCTGACACCCAGTGACTGAATCCTCTCACAACAGACCAACAAGTTTTGGGCCCCACATTATAGAAAGGATGTGGACAAATTGGAGAGAGTCCGGCAAAGGGCAACAAAAGTGGCTTGGGGGCTAGGGCACATGACTTTACAAAGAGAAGCCGTGGGAACTGGGCTTTTTTAGTCTAGAGAAGAGAAGACTGAGGGGCAATTTAATAG